CCCCCCCCCCCCCCTTCGCCTCCTGTAGACCCGCAAGGGTCTAGGGTCCATCACATTTCTCATTATCTCTCCCAAGATTTCTCCTTTTTTTTTATTCCAAGATTTCTCCTTCTTACATAATGAATTATATCTTTCTTGGGGCCCACAAGGGGGGTCGAATCCCCCCTGTTGATCTGGTTCCCATGGAGAAGAGTTTTTGAAGAAGGAGAGAATTGATATAAAACAAGGATTCAAGTTTCCAAGCATGATATATATGAAGAAAAAAATCTATTTTTGGTCATGCTTGCATAATCTTTATTAAGAAAGAAATCATAATTGCCTACCAAAGTTTTAGATTGCAACCAAAGAATGATTTCACTATATTCATCATTTGTAACAAAATTTTAATGGCATTTGGGGAGAAATTCTTTGCTTAGCTGGCACCTCCACCTCCCCTCATAAAAATTTCGGTCATCTCTCTCTCATCCTAACCTTATGATGCCTCAATATGAGCCATCTCAAATTTTGGCCAACACTCCTCTCGATCCCTTCCATAAAGAAAGGCTTAAATAGTAGTTATATTAATGATGTATTATTAGACGCAAATTTAAAATTTAAAATTTAAAATTTAAATTAAACAACACTCCCTCTCTCTTTAGTTCAAGTGAAGGGTATTAAGGATGAAAATTAAAAAGTACTTTTCTTAGAAGATAATATTCAACAAAGGTGTAAGAGATATTTTGCTAAATTTGTTAATGATAAATGTAAAAATACAATTGATTTTAGTGACCTTAACACCCTAAAAGAAAATAAAGATTTTTATTTTTATCGACGTATTAGTAAAATCAAAGTTAGAGAGGCTTTAAAGAAAATGAAGTGTGGAAAAGCTGTTGGACCTGATAACATTCCAATATAGGTGTAGAAATACATAGGAGATGAAGAAATTTCTTGGCTTACTAAACTTTTTAATACTATTTTGAAGACTAAAAAGATGTCAGATGAGTGGAGAATGAGTGTGTTAATTCTTATTTTTAAGAATAAAGGTATTGCACAGGATTGTGCGAATTATAGAGGAATTAAGTTATTGTGTCATACTTTAAGACTATGGGAGCAAGTTATGGAGCGTAGGTTGCGGCGTGATACTAATGTTTCTCAAAATTAATTTGGATTCATGCCAGGTAGGTCTATGGAAGTCATATGTTTATTGAGAGGTTTGATGGAGAAATATAGAGAGAATAAAGAGGTTCTACATATGATATTTATTGATTTAGAGAAAGCATATGATAAAGTTCCAAAAGAAGTGCTAGAGTTCTTGAAAACAAAGGAGTTAATAACGCTTATATTAAAATCATTAAAGATATGTATGCAGCAGCTATTACTTTTGTTCAAACACAAGATGGTTTGCCAGAGTACTTTCCTATTTCGGTTGAATTACATTAAGGATCAGCCTTAAGCCCATATCTTTTTGCTTTAGTCATGGATGTTCTCACTAGACATTTGCAAGAGGATGTACCTTGGTGTATGCTTTTTGCTTATGATATTCTTCTTGTTGATAAGATTAGAGAGGGAGTTGAAGGTAAACTTGAATTATGGTGGTCAACCTTAGAGTCTAAAGGTTTTCGCTTGAGTAGATCTAAAATTTAATATATGAGTATAATTTTAATAGCAATAGACCTAGTGAGGGGATTGTGATTTAGGGCGATCAAGTCATTAATAAGAGTACACGTCTTAGATATCTTGGATCTATTGTTCGGAGTGCTGGTGAAATAGATGAGGATATTATCAGCAAAATTCAAGTTGGATGGTTGAAGTGGAGGAATGCATTGGGCTTATTGTGTGATAGAAAAGTCCCCCTCAAACTTAAGGAAAAAATCTATAAGAGGGTGGTGAGACCTGCAGTGCTCTATGGTGCCAAATGTTGCCCATTAAAAGAGAAGCATAAAACTAAGTTAAGTGTTGCGAAAAAGATATATGATATGAAATAAGCATATACGTGAAAAGGTAGGAGTAGCTTCAGTGGAGATAAGATTAGAGAGAATCGTCTTAGATGGTTTGGTCACATTAAACGGAGGCTTTTAGATGACTCGGTTAGGAAATTTGAGTTATTATAATCGTCTTATGTTAAGAAAGGTAGATGTAGACCTAAAAATACTTATTTACAAAATATTAGAAAAGATCTTTCTTTATAGATTTAAATGAAAATTTGACTTTTAACATGACACAATGGCGATAAAGGATTCATTCATGTAGCCGACCCCACGTAGTGGGATAAAGGCTTGATGTTGTTGTTGGTGTTGTTCTCTCTTTCTTGAGGCAAGCTTAAATTAAATAGTAACACCAATAAAATATTATTAAAGGCAATTTCAAATTTCAAATTAAACAACACTCTATCCCCCGAAGGAAGGCCTAAATTAAGGAGTATTAGTAAAGAACTATTGTATTTAAATTTAAAAAGGACCCCATGAAGGAAATAATTAAATTATTTTATTGTAGTAATTATCATATAATGAATATAGTAGCACTGAAATAAAAAGTAAGCTTTGATTGAATGAAAAGGTGCTTTTGCATTTTGCATAGAGGTGAGGATAAGTGGTTCACTCCTATGGAAACTTCTGTATGTTGCACATGAAATAATATTTGTTTTTTATTTCAATAATGAATGATGAAGAATAAATTCTTCATGCTGTCCATTTCCTACATGTTTAGGCTTGGCATCAACCCTTTGTTCCACCATGACCAAAACAAGTCTTCAATCATCACAACATTCCCCTCTTACCGCACATGACTCACATTACTTCTACACGTAATTAATAGCTTAAAAATAAGGAGCATATAATATATTTTCATAACATTCACAAGCACAAAAACAAGAAACACTTAACATGACAATGATGTTAAGAAGTGAGAGAAGGAAGATTAGGAGTGAGGTAATCTTAATAACCTCAATTTAGTTTGGGTAAGAGCAGCATGGTTTGTTTCTAAGATATGTCCACATAATATCAAAAGAATGTCCAATATCCATCCAAATATCTTTTTGAAAAACTAAGAATTTAATCAAGCCAAATAATGGGCGTGCTAAAAAAAAAAGAAAATTCTAGGATGCCCAAAAACTTCAACACATTACAATTATTGGTTTTCCTCGTAGAAACCTATTCGCTCTTCATGTTAAAGGGACTTTATAACCGCAGAAACTTTGTAATTTCAGTTTTATTCACTACAACTAACACTAAAGCGTCATAAAGTTTAAAACTAATTATGGAACACTAACCTGGCTACACCACCTGCACCGGGTATCAGTAATTTGTATTCGTTGGTATGCTAAACGACTTAACCATGAAGAAATACATCCGTGGATTTCCAGTTATATAAGTAGTAAAGAAAAAATTCATTACCAACAAAATACTAAAAATGAACGGTGATATTGTTTACCTAAATTTCCTAAAGGTATACGTTAAAAGGATAGCTTTCTTTTTTCTTACCCTTTTTTTCGATCATTAGCAGTCAACACATGAGAGAGAAAAACTAGTTGGTTAAGTAGTATTTCATGCTGACTTAATCATATTGGATAGTAGATAACAGAATTTTGCATTCTGGAATATGAAATTAGAGTATACTAGAAAAATCAAATTCAAAAGTTCCTCCGTATAAAATAAATAGTCAAATATATTCTCACCCTTGGTGGCCTCCGTAGGGAATACAACATTGTCTTGCAGGATAAGATGAATGTGTTCTCATTGTAAGCCAATGATCTAGTTTCCCCATGAGGAGTATTGACTGAATTTGCATAGCCTGGCTCATTAAAGTAGGGCTTGGCATTCAAAACCAAGGCTTGGATAGACACTAAAACCTGCAGCATTGTCGAGTTTGTTGGGTTCCATTTCTCACACCCATGGCCAGACCAGGTATTAAGAAGGCTAAGACAAACTTTTCCAGATGCATACAAGTTTGGATTCAGACGAAGTCCTCCAGAATGATAATGAACAATCTGCGTTGTGTTTAAAAATATATTTATCATCATTACAGAATCCTCATAAAGAATGTTGAACATATAGTTAAATGCAATTATAACACCATACCGGGGGTACCAAAGGATAGGTTGTGGGAAAGTAAATGTCAAAGAAGAAGAGACCATCATGATAAGGAGTTCCAGCAGGTCCAACAATGACAGCACGAAGAAGGTCCATACGATCTTCATAAATTCTAACGTATATTGTCTCTGCCAGGATTACAAGTTAATCTAAGAAATAATGATTTGAAGAAGAAAACTTGCAGCTTATATCGAAAGTCCAAAGCAAAGTTCTACAGACAAAAGACAGCACACCAAACATGAAAAGAAATGTATAGCTCCAATTGCCTGGCCCTCAAGGGAGGACAAACATTCACTGAAGTGAAAGCTAAAAATAATTGCAGAATGTCAGTCCGGTAATAATTCAAGTTCAACCCTAATGAAAGAACGTTTTGATACACAAAAAAGAACTAATTATTTATAGGATCACCAAAGTAATTTATCATAAGGAGCATAGAAATTAGATCAAGTATGTTATGGAGCTTCCTACAAAAGATAATAAAGCATTTAGACCGAAGCACTTCAATTAATTTTGAAAACACAGAACATCACTTATCTGCTTATATGTGAAATACAATAAATTAATGACCATGCTTTCCTTCAGTTTGTTACTGTAGCATAGATTTTAACCGCAGCCTCCAAGAACAGATCACATATTTTCTTTCCTGTTGTCCAGATTATCTTCAAATTCCAGACAATTTAGTCAAGCTTATGCAACACATAAAAGTTTCTGTAGTTATAGAGCATTCCAGAAAATTGAGTACGTATTCCTTTTTATCATTTGCTAAAATAACCGCTGCCAGAAGAAACTACATAAAAAACTTAAAAGAAAGCTTAGAGAACATTTTGGTATAGAATACGTACTCAACTTATTTGGTATATAGCACTTGACTTTATTTGTCAGAATTTCATATGTAGAAAAGATGATGGCCAATAAAGATAGCTCTCACAACAAAATAATATTTATTACAATACGGGATACGGACATGATCTCTCATCACATTATAGAAAAACATATTAGGAAATATCAATAGTCGCCATTTACCCATGAGCATAAACTTTTCTGTACAGGTTTAACCATTCTAAACACTAAAATCTCTACACCTATTAAAAACTAACATGTGTTCATAGTGGTAATGACATCCGACTCAACTCGACTCGAATCGAGTTAGTAAGTTTTGAAAGAGTGCAACCAAATCAAGAGATGTATGAGTCTAATCATGATTCCTTCCTTTAATTAGATAATAGATGTGGGCTTCGAAAATTCCACCCCGGCCTCCTCGCTACTTTTCAGGGGAGTTTTAAGGAATTAAGTTCCAGGGTAAATTTTGGGAAGGCAGATTAGGATTGTAGATAAGATACTACCTAGTGATTCCGCCCTCATTTTACAAGTACTTTATGATCTGAGTTCTGGTTTCCTATAGGCACAAGCCCCTATAGTTAATTATCCTTCCTGATAATGAGATAGAACTTTCTATTAAGGCTGGCCATCAATCAGATACATAGAGAACGTGTATCTAGCAGATAGTAGTAGCATGGGCTTAGGTTTTAGAAGTCTGATATTTGAAACATAAATTTTCCCATCTTGCACTTAAAGCGGATGGTGGGGTAATTGATAATGAACTCGATCAACATCCCATGGTTCCGTCGTCCCGGGCCATCGTGGTCCTGGTCTACTTAGTCAGAGGAGGTAATCGATCCAACCTGACAAAAGGATCCTTATTAGCATCCATGGGTTGCGTCGTCCAAGGGTACCTTGTAGACTTGGGGTGAGTATTTGTCTAAGAGGACAAATATGAATCCACCTTAGCTGACAGAATGCTTTATAACCTATCAATTTTAAATAAGATACTACCAAGATATTTTGCCCTCATTTTATGGGACTTTATAATATGAGTTCAAGTTTCCAATAGGCGCAAGCCTTTATAGTTAATTACCCCACCCGATAGCGAGAGAGAACTTTCAATTAAGGCTAGTCGTTAAAATAGATACATAGTATCCAGCTTATAGTAGCAGTAAAATTAGATATTTGAAAATTAAAATTTCACCATAACTTAAAACAAATGGTGGTGGGAATGACGATGAACCCGATTAAGATCCCAAGGTTCTATTGCCCCAGATCATCATGGTCCCTAATCTGCTTGTCAAAGGAGATAGTCAACCCAACCTGATCGAAGAATCCTTGTCGACAGTCATGGGTTGTGTCGTACAAGGGTATCTACAGACTTGAGGTGAATATTTGGCTAAGGGGGCATATTTTAGTCAGTCGTAGCTAACAAAGGGTTTTGCCTCCAAAACCACTTACATCTGAATTAATTTCAGAATTTCCAAAACTTCCTCTTCCCTCTCTCTATGGCCGGCCACCCATTGCCTCCCTTCCTTAATTAGGAGCTTAAGTCAAGGCTCCAAATTAAGCCTCATTAATTCCCACTTTCCCTCCTAACGTCTAAGTTTCAAATTTCAAAATTTGAAATTATGAGAGCCCAACTCAAATTAAGGAAATCTGAAATTAATTTCAGATTTCCTCTCCTAGCCTAATCCAAGCTCCTCATTCAAGCCGCCCCTTCCCCTTTCTCCCTACCTTGGCCGCTCCCCCTCCCTTGCATCCCCACTCTTGGGAAAACTTAGTTGCTCATGAAACTTGAAGCCAAGAGAAGAATACGACCTCCTCTCCCAACCTCATCGTCATCGGTGCATGGCCGATCCTGAGATCGACCACGGATTTTATTCTTCCCAGATGTTGGATGCTCACTAGTCATCCCGTGGATTACCCGCCTCCGGCTACTTCTCCAACGGACTATACTTTGGGCGCCATTTGTCTCCTAGTGGCATCGCTCGGTTTGCTCTCAATCTTCCTTCGTTAAAGCTCCACCGTCAAGAACGTGAGTGAGGGGCCCAAGGTGAAGAGTTCTATTTGTTAACCGTGGATTATTGTTTCTCGTCATAACATTACTCTCTATTTATATGTTGTCAATTTGATATTGTCTCATTAATCTAGTTGTAACCGCATGCCTTACATAATTTCGACTTGATAATTCTGAAAACCTAAGTTGGGTAAGCATTAATTCTATAAGTAACAAAATTTTAATAATCTTATATTAAAATCCCCAAGCAGTTCTTGTTTCCATGCATATGTTTCACATCAGTAACCTAGGACCATATGTAATATATATATATATAAAAACACCACCACAATATTCAGCTGTTACTAATTCATGATTTTTTATAAAAAAAAAAAAGATTACTTCTAACACGAGGAGCAAGCACGTATCATTCATTGCACAACATAATTTAATGATTGACCAAAAACTAAATTTTTGCAAGAAAACAGTGATCAATAATAAAATTTAGCAACTACTCATTCACACTTCAAAAGAAAACCCAGCATGCATCTCACTTCATAAGATTTCAATCATGCACACAAAAACAAAGACAAAGCAAAATAAAAGACAAAAAATGGATAGAAATTATCTCAAAGAGAACAACCATACATCACCCGAGTACAAAGAGTTTCCTCTCAGAAGTAGCCATCAATACAAGTGAAGCACTCAAAGAAAGTGCATCCAACAAACACACACATAATAAAGAGGAAAATTGGAATTATATTTCACTATTCATTGTTCAAATATTCATTTATGCTTAGGGATCCTGTTCATAAGCTTCAATCTTTTCAATCTAAAAACTACATAAAATCTAAAAATATCTACTCAAAACTATAGGTTTCAATAAGTCAAGATAAATTCCAATATTATAAAATTCCACTTCCCAAATGTATTGTTGAGTTAGGGAAATAAGAAAATTTTCAAAGCAATAAATGGCGATAGAGTCTGGGAGTATATAGGCAGTGTGAGATTGTGGCATGGTTAGCGAGGTTGTGGAGAAAATCGAGGGAAATATACAGCAGCATAGTAGAGAGGGAAATTCATCAACATAATAGTAGGGTATCTGAAACAGCAAAATATACACCGGCATAGTAGAGTGGGAAATTCATCAACATAGTAGTATCTGAAACAGCAAGCAAAGATGATACCTAATTGAGGCGTTATAGTGAATTAGCAATAAGCTAAAGAGGTGGCGGAGTAATAGAGCAGGAAAATAGCATGAATCAATAGTGGGAAAGCCATCAACTATGGAACAAACAATGAAAGTAGTGGCAAATTTAAACAAGGATGATAATTAAGGTTATTTATAATTAAGAGTAGATGTATTAGATTTGTCTTATATTAAGAAAGGTATATGTAGACCTAAAAAAATTTGGTTAGACAAAATTAAAAATGACCTTTCTTTAGATTTAAATGAGAATTTGACACTCAACATAACAAAATGGAGAAAAAAGATTCATGTAGCCGACCTCACATAGTGGGATAAAAGCTTGATGTTGTTGTTGTTATTGTATTATAGTAATGATTCTCGATCCCATATGTGTTAGTTGGAATTCCATGTGCTGAGCAGAACTTAAACCTAATACACTTTTCAAAATACTAGTGAACACACCATATGCCTACAGGACAAAACAATACAGGGCATGCTTAACATTTGAAATGAAGTAGAAAACAAAGCTAAGAATCAATACATATGAATCGCATTGCCAATGAACACAAATTTTACATTTAGATCACCTAAATATGTGATATTTCTCACCTTAAAAATAGTAACGTAGGTAACAGATCAATTATAGCAATTAATTAACTCAGCAACCGCAGAAGTTGCCTCCAATAAAAACAAAAGGTCAATGGACTTAAAGGTTCAAGTGATAATTCATAATGCCAAAGCAGCTACAAATTCCCACATTCAAATGCATGAAACATAAAGCTCACAAATTCATGTGAGAATCAAAAATATAATGATCCAAAGACATAATTCTTCCAAACTCACCAGGTAGATCCTTCTCAAGAACCTTCCATTCATGTTGAATCCTCTTAGCCCAATCCTTTCCGGGCTGTAATCATTAATAGGACCTAAAAAGAATAAAAAGATAGGGCAAAAAACATACTTATCAGGACTTCATACATACCTTCTTTCCAACAGGAGTTATCTTAAGTAGCTCGGGTCTGCAAAAGTAATGATCTGCATAATCTTTAACAGTATCAAATTGTTTAAATGCTTTGAACTTCAAATCAATCGCATCCTCAATAATTAGGTTTGGTTTCGATATCAGCATTTTTGATGCATCACACTGCAACCAAGGGACGGTTGCCTCTACTCCAGGTGGCAGGTCCAGTTCATCAAATTGAGCAGCCAAATTAAGGTTATTATCATTCTCAAATGCACCCAAGCCAAAGTCATATTCATCATCATAATCATCATAATCAGTATAATCGTAGTCTTCAGTAAAACTGAAATCCTGTGGGTCTAAAACAAAGCCTTTGTGCTTATCCGAGGTCGCATCACTTTCAGCTTTGACTTTAGTACAAGAACTCCCATAAACAAAGGGGAAGGTATCCTATGAAAAGTAAAAATGACCATAAACAGTAATAAAATAAAGAATATATCTATATATATAAACTTCTTTGTCAATATTGTCAGTATAACTTAACTTGATTTTTACTACCACTCCCGAACTTCATAGGTTGTTTGTTTTTGTTGTCTGAAAAATTTTCACCAATTATCACCACTCCATCTTGATCATCATCGTCATCTATTTCAATTATATCATGTGGAACAACCTGAAATAAATGCAAAAGTAAACCATTTACGAAAAATAATTCAGTTAATCATGATCATTAGCCTTATCCAAACAGATTGGGATCAATCAAACAAATAAGCATTAGAAAAAAAAAAAAATCTTACTAAAAAAAAGTGATGCTCTCAAAGTTTAGGGTCTACATTTCCTAATGCAACTAGAATGATGCAATAAATGTAGATCACGCAAAAAAATTAGGATCCACAAATCAAATACCACTTAAAACGCACAAACTCATTTTCTTTGGGCACAATTCAGAATATTCGAGAGTTGGAATTGAAATGATAATGCAATGATCAAAAAAATCCAAAGTAACAAATAAGAAATTAGAACCACACAAAATTAATGAGCAAGTTCAATTTTTCTACCGAATTTAGAATTTCAGTATTATGAAATTTTAACAAAATCAATAACTCTAGCATGCCAATAACAAATTATTTGAAAGAAATCGATGAAGAAAAAAGCTTCATCAAAGAGAAGAAAAGCCAAGCATCACATCAGCAAAACATAACTTTCCCATAATTAGATGTCACATATACAACGCTGATAGGAATCATGCATCCAACTAATGTATACAAGATTTAAAATTAAAATCTGAAATTTATTGAATCAAAATCAAATCATTGCATGGCTCAAATAATTCATTTATGTACATAGATCATAGGTTACTTTATTACAGCACATAAAGATAAATAAAAAAATTGCCGGGTGATACTGTCGTAACTAGCATGGAGGAATCAAAAAAAGGAAACAAAGCAGCACAACTTCAATAGGAGTCGAACATTAAAACACCCTAGATGGGGCATGCGATAGAAGGTAGAATAGAGAAATATGAAAGTGGAAAATCTTGTGTATTGGTGAAACTGCAGAATAGGATAAGCAAACACGTGTATGCTGATAAAACTGCATAATAGGATAAGTAGTGAACTCATATGTTGACTATAGCCGAATAAAAGCCAATAGGATATAACCAAACTCCAGCAACCCAAACTTTGCAAGGCCTAAGCTAACAAGACCCATGAACAAATTACTGAAGACAGACCTCCAACAAATCTATATGTTTGAATATTTTGATTCTGATGAATTTAATATTTGGTATACACAAAGCAAATTACGACATAAATGTTGTACTTCCTACAAAGTAACCCATGAATCATAACAAATAAATCTGTCACACTAAAGCACAAGAAATATCTGAAATCCACCAGTGAAAGCAATCTAATCCGCTAAAATAGATTAAGAACATATTCTATAAAATTGCTTAGCCGAGAGTTGGATGCAAATTCACAATAAAAAGGAGGAGAGGAAAATCTACACGATTGACAAATTTCTTAAATAAGGATAATTCAGACACAATTAGATTGACGTAAGGATTTTCTAAAATTTTTAATTTAGAAGCATTAGTTTCAATGCACTGGATGATTTAAAGGACATTGCCTTTTCTAGCATTTAATCTATAAAAAGTTCTGGAAGGAAACCTCTCTAAATTTAAACCCATCATTACTTTACCACCAAGTTGAAGATATGTGTACCTCATATTCATTCCAACAAAAGGTTTATAATTGTCAATAACAAACAATACATGATCTATAAATATACCCATGTGAAGGGTTGTCAATATTGGGCACGCCCGAAAACTCAACCAAAACATTCCGGGTTAGGATCAACCCGTTTGGAAACGGGTCGGGTTCGAGTTCCAGGATTCAACCCGTTTGAAAAAATAGGTTAGGTTCGGGTTAACTCGCTAACCCGAAGTTGACCCAGATCAACCCGCTAATCCGGTTTGGCAGTTCCGCCCACAAGGTGCCACAAGCCTAGGGTTTGTTTTTCCTTTTCTCCCGCGGTCCCCGCTCAGCGACTCACGACGGAGTAAGTCAAGCGAGTGAGTGACCTTCCTTCAACGACATTCTTTCATATCAGTTCGGAAGTCACAAACAGCTCGCCTCCTTCAATGAAGTTCCTTTGCTATCGGCTCGGAAGTCACAAACAGGCGAACTACTCGCCTCCTTCAACAATGTTCCTTCCTGTCGGCTCGAAAGTTACAACAACTTGCCTCCTTCGACGACTTTCCTATTTGTCGGCTCGGAAGTCAAAACAACTCGCCTCGTTCAAGTTTTGATGACGTTCTAATAGGAAATAATTGAGTTCGCAAGTAATCCTATAGGAATTACTTGAGTTCGCAAGCAACCCTAATGATAAATTGGTTAAAACAACGAGAAAGAATACAAGAACGCCAATGAAATCAACCCAAAATAGTAGATTATATTAGGGAAATCAAAGCAAGGCAAACATAAAGCAAAGATATGATTGATCCTCAATTCAAGAGGAGGTTTGTTCTCTCCCAATCTCTAGATGAAAAGTCTAGAGCCCAAACCACCAAAGAGAGCTCCAAGAGAAACAATAATCAGTATGAACCCTAACCCTAACCTCTCATGCCTATTTAAAGCTTAATTCACTTGAAATCAAATTTCCTTTCCCTCCTAACCTAGCCGCCTCTCTTAATTAGCCCTGTGGGGCCCACAGCTTGGGCGGTAATCATATAGGAGGCAGTTTGACCCGCCTCCTGTAAACTAGGGTCGAGTAGGTCGGTTTAGGAACCAACCCAACAATACCGCCTTCCCAAAGAACCACCTTGTCCTCAAGGTGGAAAGAGGGAAACAGATACTTTACCCTCTCGTAAGGCTCCCATGTTGCCTCATAATCTGGAATATCCTTCCACTTGATCAATACCTACTTTACTCCTCCCCCTTCCTGGCATACCCCTTGTAACTCAAAGGGTTTTAGTATCACCTCCAAGTCCTCTGTTGTTGACCTCTTCAGTGAAAAAAAAAAAAAGAATAAAAGCCACGTACCTCTCTGCCATGCCGCTCGAGCTTCACGCCCACGTCGTCGGTGCTCTTCCCACGAACTTCGCGTAAGGCTCTCATGACCTCACATCGTTTCATCGCACGACCTCGTGTCGTTTCATCGCACGATCCTTGCATCGTTAAAATGAGAGCGAAGGACCCCATTTGCGCGTCTCTACCCCGAGCTCTCTATCTCTCATTTCCTCTCTCGATTTCCCTCAACCCTGCTCCGACGACGACGTTCCCTTTCGGACGGAACGGAAGTTACCACGTTTTGATCGGAGACGACAACGGGAGCTCACGGTTGAGAATCAGGTCGGAAGTCACGGCGTTCTGATCGGGATCAATGACAGGAGTTCGTCGTTCCTCCGACTCCTTTTAGGTTGTTCGACTCTGCCTTCCTCGTGGCTGAGCGACTTCGTTCCTTCGACTACTCTACCTATTTGTCGGACCGAAAGTTGTGTATTTTGGTCGGACCTAACAGCAGACCTCCTCTGCTGTTGTCCGACTTCGACCCATTCGTGGCTATTCAACTTTGCTCCTCTGCCGACTCTCCCCTCTCTCTGATCGAAGGCGACCACGGGAGCTCTCCCGCAGAGAAGGTAACTTTCTCCCATTCGCGCTCCTTCGGTCAGATCCCGTAAGCACATAAGAGAAAGGGGAGGGGGTTAATTTGTTGATTAATTATTAACTATCTTTAATTATAATTTAATTATAATTATAATTAATTATTTTATTATAATTAATTAATAATTAGTAATTAATTATCAGTTATAATTATTTAGTTAATTATAATTAATTTTGATTAATTATAATTAGTTACTAAGTAATTATAATTATAATTAATTTAATAATTATAGTTAATTATAATTAATAATTAATTATAGATTATAATTAATTAATTATTATTATAATTGATATTAATTTTAAAAAAAGGAAGAAGAAAGGAAATGTGCCCCTTCGCTTGCCTCGGTCTTTGTGCCCTCCACTGCCAGTCTGCCGATCCCAAAGGTATGATTTCTAAACTTAGATTTTCGTTCCCGGCGCTTGCAACGTGGCGAACGACCACCGATGCACGCTTTTCTCTAGCGTGGTAGGAGGGAATTCGTTATGATGCCTGCGACGGGACGGGCAATCAAAACTCCATTTTTGGCATTAGTAACGGACCGGAAAACAAACTCATGCACGCTTTTCTCTAGCGTGGTGGGAAGAGAACCCGGTGCGATGCCTACGGCGAGAAGAGGTCAAATATAAACTGCTCATTTTTGTAATCGGTGCCCGAAGACCCATGCACGCCTTTCTCTGGCATGGTGGGAGAACAAAGATTTTACGGCCGCGGTGTCCTCGAAAGAGGACACCTACCGTGCACGCTTTTCTCTAGCGTGGCGGGAGGCCCAGTTTTTCCATAGCTTTCCCCTAAACGGGGGAGACGCCGGGAGGCTGCCGAAATTTCGGGTGAAAACATGACTATACTCGGACCTGTCTGAATTCAAAAGAACAAGTATTGGGACTCGAATGAACAACAGTGGACTAAGATTTGTGGACTCTTGAACTTGATTGAACACGAGTAGAGCACCTGAACAAAACTCGAATGATTCCTAAAAGGTCAAAATCCAAATAAAAATAAAATTAAATTGGAATCAAATTCAAATGAAAGTGAACAAGTAAATGAACTTGCAAGGACCGCAGGGGACATAGAGCTTGAGCTCGCATATTGAGCTTGTGGACTTGATAGAACTCCAACTTGAATAAATACAAAGGATTAAGGCACGAGTACAACATCAACACTAAATCAAGTCTAATCAAATGATGTTAAGCTGAACCAAAGACTTGAACTTATACTCTGAACTCAAAACTAGAACAAGATGTGGACAATAAGAACTTGCGCATTTGAGCTTGAACTACATGACGCCAAGTAAATTTTGGGTTTGCAAACAGTAGATTCAAATCCGGATGAATTCAATATTGCAGTAAAAGAATTGAATGAATGTTGAAGACTCATACTGAGTTTGAAACTCAAGTCTGAATGAAATTGAACTTGGATCCAAACACATACAAGGAACAAAACTTGGATTACACACGAGGAAACTCAAACTACAAGGCCCCAATGCATGCGAATAAAGAATGCAGTGGACTC